ATTCACCCCCGAGCCCGAATATGTAATTAGTTTTGGAATCCGAACTCAAATTGAGGTCTAAATCCCCAAATTCCCGAAATTCCTATTTTCTACCTTAACCCCTAATTCTACCATAAAAACTCTAGATTTTTGGTTGATAATTCAAGGAATGTAATAAGTAATTGAAAGAAAATAGTTTAGAATCACTTACCAACACTTTGGGGAAGAAAATGACTCTTGAAAACCGCCTCTACCCGTTTGGTTCTTGGAAAATGTTGAAGAACCCGTGTTTGATTCTGTTTTATGCACTGGGCGACAGTATGCATCGCGTTTGCGAGGCCACTGTCGCGTTCGCGAAGGGTACTGGCTGCCAAGCCTTCGCGTTCGCGAGACGTTGCTAGTGTTTGCGATGGTTACGCTCCTCTGGCCTTCATGTTCGTGAGACGTTGCTCGCGTTCGCGATGAAAGAACGGCCAACCCTCCCCCAGGTTCCTAAGTGCTTCGCGTTTGCGATGAGCAGGTCACGTTCGCGAAGGGTAAATCCCCCATCACTTCGCGTTCGCGAAGAAGGATTCTCAGCCTCACCGGATTACTCTTCGTGTTCGCGAGAGTACCTTCGCGAATGCGAAAAAGGACATGCTAGAACACAGATTCTGCACAAAAACCAGATTTTCAAAGTTCAAAACATCCCGTGGCCTATCCGAAACTCACCCGAGCTCTCGGGGCTCCAAACCAAATATGCACACAAGTCTAAAAATATCATACGAATTTGCTCGCGCGATCAAATTGCCAAAATAACACTTAAAACTCTAAATTTAGCACCAATTCAAATGAAATTCTCAAGAACACTTTAAAATCCACAACTTCTCAACTGGACGTCCGAATCATGTCAAATCAACTCCGTTTCTTAGGGGTGGGCATTCAGTCGGTTCAGTTCGGTTTGAAGAAATTCGGTTTGGTTATTTGATCTTCGGTTTTGTAAGAGTATTAACCGAAACCGAATTGAAATAAGTTCGGTTTAGTTCGGTTTTCTAATTTCGGTTCGGTTTTTGGTTTGAACATTATCATATTGGGCTTATTCTACGTATTAATTGGACAGACTAATTTGTTATTTTTTTTCAAAATTTCGGACTTACTTGTGTTGCTTGAATGTGATAAATCATAAATTTGTTCTTTTATTTATATAAATC